TGTGTATCTCATCTTTGTCCTTTGTTTAAAACAGGTCTCTCTTGTAAATGAGTCCTCGTGACTCAGTGAGACTAACCTGTATAAATAAAGGTTGAATTAATTAATGCATGCATATGTCAGAAATATTTTTTTTTAATCAGCAGATCAGTGTTCAAATTCCCTGAGTTTTTCATTGTCTGGAAAATGTGAAAATCATTTTCCAAGTTTTCCTTGATTTTTATTCGCTTGAAACTCTTATTTACATTTTTCTGCTCTGTACAAAATGTATGTTGGTGAAATGTGCATTTTTAAGAGCACAAAGGAGGTCACATGATGAGCAAACTTGAAGAAATTGTCTGCCGTGTTGTGCATCTATTAATAAATGAAACTAAATGTGTTTTTGTTCTTTAAAGAAACAACCTGAGCTGAATCAAAGTTAAGCATGTCTTCTTCTTCTCCTAATTGAAACCACCACAGCTGTGGGAAAATTCATCATCAGACAGTCCAGTACCTCTTCTTCACGCTGATACTCTGCGATCAGGTTGAACGGGATGGTGTAGAGTGTGCTGGACATGATGCCAAACACACTGCAGAGGATGAGTGTTGCGATGACATTGGGAAAGAGGCCAATTAAGCTGGTTCCCAGGCCGAACATAAAGTAGCCCATAAAGTATAATCCCTTCAGGCCGATGTATGGAAGGAGGCAGCGCTGCACATCTGGAAACACACAAACATGCATCTTAAGTGGCTACAATTATTTAGAAATGAAAAGCTGCATGAGGTGTGCTGATTCTTGGTAGATGGAAGACTGTGATAACTACATCCCTTTCATATTTCACATCATGCATTAAATTGGAGACATTTGATTTGGACCATTTATCACTTATTTATGAGCAGTAGTGAGAAAAAATAAAACATTTTCTCAACATCCAGGATATCAATAAAGCTAAATTTGTTGAGCCCAAGCCTTTAGTATTTGGTAGAATTATTTTTTGCTTACTGCAGCAGCTCTTCTTCATGCACAATTCTACCTCAAATCTGCCTTTCTCTTCAAGTACACAGAACAATGCCCTCGGGGGAACATCATTAAGACAAGGCCTGTTAATGAGAGGCTGCAACCTGCGAACCCATTTCAAAAGGAAGGAAAATGCCAATTACCCACAGTTATCGTTTCACTTCACAACACTGTTATGGCTATCAGGTGTAAGGATGCTAATGGATGTTGACTGCATTTATATTGGCTGAAGAAAAAAAACACACTCCCACTTTGTCAGACAGGCACATGAGCAGTCACTTACATGAATAGAGCGCAGAAGACACAGCATTGATGCACAGCCCCCAGCAGCCAACTTCCACTCCTCGTTCATACGTGACATAAGCTGTAGAGTTGTGGTCCGCATAAGGGTTTCCTTTATAAACAATCTGAAAAAGAGGCAGGAGAAACATGACGAAAGATTTAAATAGATGTCAGTCTTTGTAAGCGTGCACTACAGAGTCCCCGTCTACACTACGAGTGTTTATTTTTCTGTTTATGTTTCATGTGATTTTCACAAAGATGCAGAAATGTCCACACCGTGCCACTAGGCGGTGAGAATGTCCATTTTAAGAACATCAAAATACAGAAGGAGTTTTTCTTAACCTGGCTAACATTTTCCTCTAACAGTAGTATCACCCACCTGGAGCAGAAGGACTTCTACATTCGTATGCGCTTTGTGGACTTCACGTCTGCCTTAAAAAACATGATCCCCCAGACCCTGATGGATAAACTACTCACACTAGGACTAAGCCCCTCCATTTGCAACTGTGTCCTAGACTTCTAAACAAACAGATTGCAGTCAGTGAGGATCCACAACTTCTCTTTCTCCACCATAAGCACTGGCTCCCCTCAGGGCTGTGTGTTGAGCCCCCTCCTGTTCACTCTGCTCACGTATGACTGCACACCTACCCATCCAGGCTGTCATATTGTAAAGTTTGCAGACAATACAGTGGTGATTAGATGCATCACAAACAACGGTGAGTCCAGCTACAAGTAGGAGGTGGAACACCTGGAGAGCTGGGGCAGGAAGAACAACCTTCACTTTCAGTTCAGTTTCATTCTCATCACATGTACCACATGTGATGAGAATGCCAATAAAGAACCTTGACTTAAATTGAGTATCAGGATGTTATTACATAGATGGTGACTGTAGTGGAAGGGGCTGTGATTGTTGGAAACTTAATTGGTGACTCAAAATTGTGAGAAAATGCACAGATTTTTAATTAAATCTCACTGAGTTCTGAGTGTTTGCAACCGGCGAGGTGTACGGCTGCACTTTGAGAGAACAGTTTTTCAAATTCACGGCCCGTTTTCATGTAAACTTCTTCCAAAATGGTATTCTTGGTCAATGCACTTCATACCTGCTTCGACTCATTTTGTTGGTGGCCACCCTTATATTTATGAGTTAATCTGCTGGAGTTGCACTTGTCAAATAATGATAGGCAGGTTAGGACAATTTTTAACAACTGTTATTGATCATTAGAGTGGATTTTAGAACTGGACATTTGCCTCAGAGGAGATCTGTCTTATAGGTGTAAAAATACAGCTGCAGTGTTGTTGAGAACACATATCATTCTGACCGCAATGACACAGAGTCCAATGTGAAGTGTACAGTAAAATAATATTGTATAATGCATACAATATTGTAATGCATCAGGAAGCAGATCAATAAATAATATATTTCCTTCACAGTGAGTACACTGAGAAAAATATTGTCGGACAAGGTTTTTCAACGCGCTCAAAACTCAAGCGACAGGATTGCGTACCTCTGCCACACCCATGAGAAATTTGAGAATCACTGTAAATCCAGAGACATTTGTGAGACTCCCCCTCAAAAGTCCATTTGTCTCAAAGTCCATTTGTCTACTAGCTGCTGTCCAGTGAGATATTTCATTCAATAATGAACAAATTGTGCAGTCCTTTTGTGCATGTGCAAGAGAGACCATGTTGGTGTAATTGGAATTAAAAAGCCTCTTGGCTGAAAACTTCCACACCAAAACCAGTAAAAA